ACCCACCACCCAACACCGACCCCCACACACCTCACCCAAAAAAATCCACCCGCCAAACTCACACCACAACCCCCGGCACCAGACCGCCCAACCACGCGCCACACCAGCCAGACGCCCAACCCCCACCATCCCACCATCACACAACCCAAGACACCACCCCCCACCACCAACCCCGCCACAACCACCACGCCCCCCCACAACCCAACAACCACAAACCACCCTCATCCACCACACCACAGTCACAACCAAACGCGCCACCCCACCCCCAACGCACCCCCCCGACAAAACAACCCCACAAACCCCACCCACAAACCAAACACCCACCCACACACCCCACAATTCCCAACCCCACCTCAAAACCACACCCCCACCCCCACGCCACACTCCCCCCACCCCACCCCCCCCACAACAACCCGTCCCCACAACCAACCCCACCCCCCCACCACCCCCAAACGCCCAGCCAACACCAAATCCCCTCTCCCACCCAAGCCCCACAACCACAACAATCATCACACCACCCCACCCTCCCTCAATCCACCCCTACCACCACCCCCGCCCCTCCCCCACCCCCACCCCACCCCCCCCCACCACCCCCCCCACCCAACCCCCCCCCCCCCACCCCACCCACCCACCCAACCCCCCCCGATACCCCACCCCACACCCCCCACCTCCCCCCACCCTCAACCCCCCCCACACCCCCCCTCCCCCCCACACCCCCCTCCCCTCGCTCCCCTCAACCCCAACCCCCCACACCCCCCACCCCCCCCCCCCCCCCATCCCAACCCACCCCCCCTCCGCCCCACCCCACCCCCCCACCCCGCCCCCCCCACCCCCCCCCACCAAATCTATTATTTAACGAGACTGGGATAGCACTAAAAATACTATGCACGTATTATTGCCCATGTGAAACAATTATTTTTTTGGTAGCGAGATATAATGTGCTTTAATGACCATATTGCCCTGCCAATATGGTCTGTATCAGGTGCTTTCGAATGCTGGACGTATTTCCGCTTAGTAAGCGACATCAATGTTTTCTTAAATAATGTCTTGTTTAACATTTTGTGCTTCAGACATGGTTTAATACTGAGTATCCTCATTCTACGACTTCCATCTCCAGAAATTGGCAGTCATACTCAATACTGAGTGTCACTTTTCAAACATGCAGCTGGGTCTTGTACTGTCTTGCTACATGTGCCGCCACAACGTGTGCAGGCAGCTACGGTTGCAGCATTTGCGCGCCATTGCCCCACTGGAAACATTAAAGCCGGATAGGAATATTCCGAGCTGCATAGAACACCATCTTACTTGCCTACCTTAAGTCAGCTTGCATCCGAGCGCGGCAGATTGGAGAGCTATAGACGTACCGCACTTCGGGTCTTGCGCATACTTTTCTGTTTGTTCAGTCTGTATCCGCACTCCTTTGCAGCGCCTACAAATGTTTTCGAGTTGTTTATTTCGTCAATCTTGCATAATTGTAACGTTGTGGGTTTTGGGGCTGTATTACTGCCATTTACCTATCACTCCTCTAAGCGCTTGAAATGTACAGTCTCTTTCGACTGATATTTTAATTCCAAAAGCAGTTCTCCCTTCAATGTTTTCTTTGTGGTGACGCTGTGCGATTCTCTAGTCCCTGTAACCGTTTTTTCCGGGGATGTCGATGTCGAGCCCATCCTTTGGTGGTTTGATGCGTCTCGCCTTGATCCTATTTTCTTTCGATCTTGGCTTCTTTCTTAATACCATGTTTGACGATGCCGGTTATAACTTGGTATTGCCTTTGATTATTTGGCTGCTCGTCTAGTAGATGATTTAATTTCCTATATTTTTTGATTTTTTGTGGTAAAAAAGTAAACTCACGTGCCCTTTTGCGCATTCAATTGTATACCCTGGCAGCCTTTCCTAACCATAGTCCTTTTGGGATAGGTTTCTCTTTTTCCGCTTTACTGTACATCACTAGGTGCTACTAAGTCGCGCATTGCTTGTTATATGCCTTTGGCAGAATCATTTCTACTCAGCTCTTTATCTTATTACCCAACTGGTTAAAGTTTGGGTTTTTCACATCTTGTTACTCCAGCAGGTTCGCACATCTGTTGCCGGTAGTTATTCAACATTTATTGTGATCAGAACTGAAACTCATTTCCCAAAGGGCGTTTCATAATTTTCAAGAATTCCTTTCAAATGGTATCAGCATGTGCACCCATACTTTTCTCAGAGCACATACCTCAAGAAAACATTTGGACACCTGACAGTAATTGTGTCAGTCAACTGTGCCCCTAAAACCTTGCTAATATTTTTGGTAGTTGGCAATGCCAAAACCAAAAGGGAATATAAAAAGGAGAACCAAAAAAGGGGAACAGCTGATTCACCAAAACAAAACGGCAGAGCAAATTAAGCACGCGTTTTTTTTTGATTGCTGTGTCAGGGGAAGAATAATTTGCTTTTCAACAAAAATTTGCAACGGAAAATATGCAAGTAAGTACAAATTATTTTAATTTAAAAATACAAGTTGTACTTATCTTTCTATAGATCTAGTGTCCGTTCAGACCGTTTCGGTTTCCGAAAGTCACAGGGAAGAAATCACTTCAATTGGTGTGGAAGAACTAGGAAATTAAAGAAAACCCCAGGACCGCACCAAAAACACAAACACTTCACTTGAATTCACAATATGTATGTATGGAGGATATGATAAATGTGAGGTCAAAGAGTCTATCTGTCGAAGGACTGACGCGACGACAAAGCGTCACAACATTGTGTTATTGCCGCTCTAACCAGAGAACGTAAAAGAACGAGAAGGTGCAAATTGAATTTTGTATGATGCTCGATTGGTTGGCTGAAAATTTGAGATCAAGGAGTTCACCACTTTCTGTAGTATTTGCTGTTAGTTAACAGAAATGAGAATTTATAGCAACGTTCTCTGACAAAATACGAATCTCCCAACGTAAAGAGAAAAATTAAATACGTTAAACAAAAAATACATATGCCACTTTACATATGCATGATTATTTTTTTTCTGGTTTTATTTATTCTCTGGTTTGAGGCTCCGACGAAATTATATTATTTTTGCCGGGTTGTTTATACAGAGAACTTAAAGTTCTCTGGTTGATCATATGGATATTGTTGGTCGTATGTGGCTTGTTGGAAGTATGGACCTTCCGTACCGGTTTATATGAAAGTTCCTCTGTTGTTTGAAAGGCACTTGTTGAGATAAATTTGACGGCCGTTTCCATGCTTGGTATTCATGTAGTTAACCACTTTTGAATGTAGCGAGCGGTCTACATCCATTGGCTCTGGACGTGAGAGTCCGAAAGGTCGTGGGTGCTGTGGCCTAGCAGGAGGTTGATATGTTGGCCGAAAATTTGGAGAATTGCGATGATTAAAAGTATGCTGTGGCTGTTGCTGCGGCATGAAGTTCTGTTTAGGTAAATATGGTTTAGGAATATAAGCCAATTGTGGATAGAACTCGTTGGTTACTTTCCTAGGTGGAAGTGGCTTAAAGTCTTAGGCTTTCTTAATATGGGAATTATTATTGATAGCGTAATGCGAACGGAATTTCTGATTTTCCAACTTAAGGCATAAGTGAAGGGCTTGAGGGAGGTCTACGGGTTCCCTCATGCCAAGGAGTCTTGGCAAATCACCATTAAGTCCTCGAATAAAAGTGTCAAGGGCTTTGTCACGATATGTTCGTGTAAGTAAATGCATGGATTCAGCATTGACTTCCATGCAACCAAGTTTATTAAGAATAAGAGATAGGTGGGAATATACCCTTTGGTAGAATTCCTGAATGGTATAGCTACACTGAACTAATGATGTCATTTGGTATTCTAAGGTACCTATGTCCCTTTTATCCGCGTAATGGAGAGTAAGACATTTTGAAATAGCCTTCCACTCCAAAGGTGTGTTATATGATTCAAGATCAATGTCTGCGTTGCCCACGATTTTGTTTCTTATAACGTTAAGAATA